CGAACTGGGGGTGGACGCCCGGGGAGTGCAGCGCCGGCACGTGTCCTTCCCCCGCCAGCCCCAGCCCGCCCACGGCCGGCCGGAAGAGCAGGCCGGAGCCGTTCTGCGGCAGGCCGAGCTCGTGCGGGCCGGGCTCGGCGGGGCCGCCCATGCGCCGCGGCAGCAGCTCTCCCGGCGGGTGCGGGCCGGGGAACCAGCCGCTGTCCGGGGCCAGGTGCGGGGTCTGCGGCTCGAAGGTGGGCCCCCGGCCTGCGCCGTCGCGCTCGAAGCCGGGCTGCGGCAGGCTGCCCACGGGGCCCGCGTGCACCAGGCTGCTCGGGCCGACGTCCCCGTGGTGCCCCAGCTGCTGCAGGCTGGGCTGCCGGAGTCTCTGCTGCTGGTTCCGGGACGCCATTTGCTTGATCATCAGGGCGGCGTTCTGGCGCTGCTGCAGGGCCTGCGGGTCGGGGCCCGGGTGCTGGAGCGGCGGGCCCGGGGCAAAGCTCTCCGGGACGGGCGGCGTGAACTCGCCCGGGAGGCCGGGGTAGGCGGAAGGCGATAGATGGTTTTCCAGCCCCGCGCTGTGCAGATTGTTATTCCAGGAGGCGCACCTATCGACCGCGGGGTTATTGGGGAAGTCAAACCTAGGCCTCTTGGCCACGTTCATGTAGGGGGCATCGAAATGTTGCAGTCTCTGATTTGGTTGCTGTTGCGGAGGAGGGTGCTGCATATTAAACACGGGATCAGTATATGGATGCATATTCCTATTCTCCAGTCTATGAATAGGGTATTCAAACTGTGCATGCTGGTTCTGCATTATTGGCCCATTGTCCTGCAAGTTGGGGTTGGGAGTATTGGCTTCTGTTTGCTGTTGCCTAGGAATTGCTGGCGGACAGGAGTTTTGTCTGGCCAGTAAACCTGTCTGTTGCTGCTGTTGCATTAAAGGATGTCTGGCGTTAACACCAGGCTCCATGCCCACAGACATCTTACGAGCACCTCCAAACCTTTCAAAGAATACACCATGCTGCTGCTGCGGGTGAACTTTGGACATCCCCACTATGCCTGGGGCTCTGGGCAAAACAGATGTGCCAGGGAAACTGCCGCCCCCAGGAACTTGTCTGCCAGCCCCATAGTGAGGAAGCTGCCCGTCCGACTCGGAAGGGGAAAACACTGGCAAATCAAAGTGTCCTGAAGGGCCATCGCTGGGGTAATTGTATTCCAAAGAATCGACGCCGCCCTGGTTGGGAAGCCGCCTCTGCTCCAGGCTATGGGAATCCGAGGAGCTGGAGGCTGGAAGCCCATGGAAGGAGGCAGCCCGGTTGGGAGACTGATCCAGTGGGAGGCAGGGTGCTGGCACGGCGTGGTTAGAGGCGCTGGAGTTGTGGTGCTGGAAATCGGGCATGTTACCTGACCTTTGCTGTCCAAAGCCTTCGCCTCCTTGGTTCTCAGCCATATGTTCATAGCCCTCTGCAAACGCTTGCTGGCTGCCCATGTTGTTGTAACTCATCAGCCGCCCTCCATGCAAGCAGGAGGCGCTGGGATCGGACCCAAAGTTGCCGCTGAAGTGCGGGTGATGCTGGTGCGGGTGGTGGGTGTTGGGATGACCGTGGTGAGGCTGCTGGTTGCCGAAAAAGCCATGAACCGGCTGAGCCTGCATCCCCCCTGCATGCAGCTCCGAGTGTCCCCGGGCATGGAAGCCGTACGCTTCCCCGGCCATGTTCATGTTCATGCCCAGGATGGGAGGCTCGGCCAGGGCGCTGATGGCCGGATCCGCGGGCCCCCCCGAGTGGAAAGCCGGCGATTTGAAGTGGGAGCTCATGGTCAGTCCGGCCTGGCTAAAGTTTCTCTCTCCTTGTCCGGCGTTTCTGCTGCTGATCTGAGGCTCAAACTGCTCCAGCCCAAACATACTTCTGGGGATCAGTAGGGCATGGCACCCCGCGCGCCCCGGTGCGCGACTCGGACCGGCTCCCCCAGGAGCGCGCTCGGAACCGCAGCGAGCGAGAGCGCCCAACGCGGAGCCAAGGGGCCGTGTCCCTGCAGCAGGCAGCGGCGGGGCGAGCCGGGTCCCCAGGGAGCTGCCCCCGCGCTCACATCTTGCGGGGCAGGTGGCCAGGGCGTGGGGGCGCTTAGCGGGGATGCGGGCGGGGCGGGCGCGGAGAAACAGGCAGCGGCCGCCCCGGCTGCCAAACAAAGTTCAAGGAAATGAAATCTGTCCGCCTGGGTCCGAGCCTCCGGCCTCCGCGCCACGCAGCCCGGGGCTCTCCGAGCGGCCGCGGCACTTACGCTTGGGGGCGCCCCGCTCTCTCACACCTGGTGGGGCGGCCGGCTCTCCCCGACATCCGGCGGGGCTCGGCTCCGCAGCTCATCGGCTCCAGTCCCCGGGAGCTCCGCTCCGCATCGCCGGGCTGCAGAGGCGCTGGCAGCGCGGCTCAGCCTCGGGCAGCCCAGCGGGTCCGGCGGGCTCTGCGTGCCGGGCGCACGGGCTCCGCTCTCCGCGCCTTGCTGCGCTGGGGGCTCCGAGGGTCTGCCGGACCCAGGCTCTCCTGGCGGGTCCCGTCGGCCCGGGCTCGGGGCGCTGCAGGGTCCCGTCGGCCGCAGGCGGTGCGGGGTGCCCGGCTCGGGGCGCTGCAGGGTCTCCGCTCCCCTCTCTTCCGCTCCCTCTCTCACCCAGAGCTGGAGAAACAGCAACAAGTTTTGCATTTCAGCAATCAATTTCAGCCATTAGAGCTGCACCAATGAGCGGCACGCATGCTCCGGCCCGGGGCGGGGCTCTCCGTTAAGGTGGCTCCTTCCCCCTCGCTCCGCAGCCCCTGGCAGCCGGGCTGTGCCTGCGCTCGGGAGCCCATCACCTTCGTGCCCGGCCTTGGCGCCGGCCGCGCCTTTCGGCATCTTAACCCTCCCCTGCCCGCCCCTCCAGCCCCGCGGCAAACCAGGCGATCAACAAATGTCGGCCCGAACGAGGGGCCTTTGTTAGCGCCCGCGATTCGCTGCGGCTCCGCGGAGCGGGACCGGCCCGGCCCGGCCGCCCGAGCGGAGCGGAGCGCAGGGCTCCCCGCTTGGCGCAGACGGGCGGTGCGCGCTCTGGCGCTGGGAGTTGCGATTCCCGTGTAAACAAGGCGCGCCTGGGCCGGGCCGGGCCGGAATCCCATTGCGGGCAATAAAAACAAACCCCGGCTGCCATGGAGGAGACGTTACATCCGAAGTGCACCGTCTCGGCAGCGGTTTGACATTGTCATGCTCTTGCTCATCGCGGCGGTGCATGGATGTAAATGCCATGTCTACACAGACCTCACACACGTTTGTCTTTGCTCCGTTAGGCGAGGGGGCGAGCGCTATCTGTCAGGGCTATCGCCTTTGGGGCCGCGCTAAGTGGTTTTGTTAATGGTAAGTTTTCCGGGAGAGCCTGAACTCCCCCAACGCGCCTCAACAACTGTTCCCATTTCCCATCTCCAAGGCTCCTCTCTCCATCGGGCCGGGGCTCGGTGCAGCGCCGCTGAAGAGGAGTAAAGACGCCTGCCTCCCTTCTCCCCACTTTTATTTTTCAGTTTGCAATGAAAGAGGACTGGAAAGTGGGGGAGGGGGATCTATTGCTCGCCGCTGTCCTTAGGGACCTGGGCTGAGGGACAACAGAAATCCGTTATGAGCATTAGACTCAGCCAGTGCAAAGTACAGGCTACATATTTTATTTCTGGTCTTTATTTCTACACTTGCTTCAAGCGTTGCGCGAAGTACTAGTGTGTCTAAGCAAGATTTCTGTTGTAACGTTTATAGTGTTTTTTATTATTATTATCATTCAAAGTAATGGCCAGACAGCCAAGCCTCCTTAAGAGATCAATTAGTCTAGAGGGGCTAAGGAGAGGAATTGGGTTGTGATACCAAAATCAATAAGTGTAATTTAATATCTGCTCTGCTCTTTATGAAATATTTATCCCAATAATCTTAGTTAAAATGTTTAGCTCTTTCGGCTCTCCCCTGGGGCTGAAACCCCCCGCAATTAGAAGTTTGTAAAAAGGGTGGACAGCTTTGAAATCAGGTAGTCAAAGGGGATCTTGGCAACAGGATTACATTAAAAAAAACCTCAATTACAATTACGTTTACTCAGTTCAATATAAATAAAAATTGTACATAGAAACTCCGTTTAAACATGTGTTTAAGGTCGGTGTAGGTCCGGTTCGTTCCACTTTTTTCTAAACTGCGCATTAAATAAATGTTATACAGAAATTATTCTAACCCTATGTCTTTTTCCATTTAGACTTTAACCAAACAGGCAAGCCTACAAACCGGGATGATAGAAGTTATCCAGTTCTCCCCATCACACCCGGCTCGAGAAAGCGGGATTAGGCTGAATCCAAAGGCTTTACAAATAGTGGGAGAAACTTCTCCCGTATTTGTGGAGATGCAACGAGAGACCGTCAGGCGACAGCATTTCTAAAGGAAAATACTTCTTTTTTTTTAAATCCTTGGATTTAGAAATAAACTACAACTATAAGGCAATTCAGGTGTTCGCATTTCCTAGATGTCAATAGACTTAAAAAAATAAAAATGAAAATTACTCCAACCAAAAAAAAATAGAGATCTATAAATACCGGCCAAGAAGAAGTATTTGTATATGGCAGTAGAGTTTTAAAAGGATTTTTTCTGCAGGATCAGGATGCTGGGCTGTGATTAAATATTGATTTTGTGTAATTAGTTTTCATGTGAACTATCCTCCTTGCTGATGGCTTAGAGATTTCAGAACTAGAAAAGAAATGGAATTGGACATGGAAATTATTACTTAGCAAAGTGACAGGGGGAGAAGGAGAGCTGTGGAAGGCCTGGGGTGGGGTGCGTAGTTTATACCAGGCGATGGGCAGAAAATACAATAAGTAAAGACTGACAGTAATACAAAGGAATAAAAGAAAATCTTACCGATTCCAGGGAAAATAGTGACAAAAGAAAATGCCAGCTCCCCAGACCAGCGGCTAATACAATTTAACCCAGTTCAAAACGTTACAGGAAAAGACCAGCATTTTAGACAAAGCACTTCTATTTTAATAAAGTTGGAGGGTCTAGTCTTATTCCACACGGCCTGGTGGGGTATGTAGGAATGACCAAGCGCTGTCCCACTATTCTACAGCAGCCCGGACCTTACGTTGATTTTCAGAAATACCCTTTCTACGGGCCAGGACTGAAGCCCCCCAGAACCAGCTCATTAATGGAAAGACGTGTGGTCGCTTTTCTAACCTTCCCCAGACACCCACTTCTACACCTAATTATAGGGCACCCAAGTACCAAGTCTTATATTCAGTCAGTTCAGGCTAAACTGTGTGTGTAAAAGAGGGATTGTGTATCTCTCTCTCGGTTAATGTCTGTATGAGACTCTGAATTTCTCTAAGTGAGTGGTGGGGTTTTGTGTTCGCAATAGTGTTGTTGGGATGGTTTCTTTGAAACAGACACATTGCCCCCTAGTGCACAGATACATACAAATCCCAACCAGAGTGTGAGAGAAAAGAAACAAACCCTACAGGAGAAAGGATCTGAATGAAACACGGATCTCTCGTTATTTTCAACCTTCTCCTGTTAGATTTTTCTTCCTATACAGGGTAAAGTACTTCTACTAAATGCACTATTTCTGCTTCAGTGATAAACAATTCAATCAGTCGTAAGGATGTTCAAAGCTGCTACTCTAAGATAGTTTCACAATATCCATTCTCAGCCTCCCAGGATTGCAAATGCTGAAATTGAGATGATGGTAAACTATTTAATAGCCTTTATTTGTGGAACATAGAAATACAGTATCAGTCCCATATAAACCTTTGTGCTGAAATGCTACTGCGGTGCCGATCCCTTAGCTTCGCCCACAATTTCAGAGCAGCGGCACCCGTGGGACACAGGAGGCTCCGATTAGACGGTCCCTAGTTACAGTTGTTCCAGGCGGGAAGCAGTCACAGCCCCTGGTGGGTTTTCATGCCCAGGGCCCGAGGTGCTCTGCCTGCTCCGAAAGGGCGAAGGTGCAAAGGGAAGGGAACGGGGCCACACCGCCCTGCGGGAGCAGAATGAACGCGCCCCTCCCGGCCGCGATTTGAGGTTTCCTGCTCCTGCCTTGCCTGATCTTTGTGCTTGTCCTTTGTCTCAGCCCGGCTGCAGGCTGAGACCTCGCCGGCGTCTCTCCCGCCCCGATACCCCGCTAGCAGCGCCGGGAAACACGGGGAGGGCGAGAGGCGAAGCCAGGCGCTCGGGCTGCCCGGCCTTGGCCCCTCCGGCGGGGCGCAGCAGCATCAAAGCCGGCCCGGGCCCGGGCTCCAGCCTGGCTGCGGGAGGCCGGAGCGACCCGTCCCTGGAGTCCGGGAAGCCGCGCGGAACCCGGCGCAGGCTGCAGGCAGGAGACCCGGCCTCCTCCCGCTGCCCTGGGCTGCAGCAGCGGCGGCTTCCCCCGAGCAGGGACAGAGCCGCAGTTCCACCGCCCGTGTCCACACGAGCCGTGGCTACAGGGCCGGTTTTGCACCAGACTGGCAGAGGGCGGGATTGAAAACAGCCTGAACAAACGGCAGCTTCGCGTTACAGACTCACAGGCGGCCCCAGCAGCTGGGCCGTCACCGCTCCCCCTCCGCTCCGGAGTGGCCCCGGCCCCGGCCCCGGGAGCAGAAATTCCGCTTCGCAGGGGCGCAGCCCACCCCAGCGCTAGACCTGCTCTGCGTCAGCCCTCGCCTCGCAGGTGTACTGGCCCCTTGTTCCAAGGCAAAATGAGGGAGAAACAGCTCCCCGGCCCCTTGTACCAAGGCAAAATGAGGGAGAAACAGCTCCCCGGCCACCCCTCTCCTCTCCTCTCCTCTCCCCAGCTGGGGAAGTAGATCGTGCGGGAAATGTGAACATGCAAAGAGGCTGTTTGCATACATCAAGTGCAGCCCACCTGAGCCAGGGGGTAGCTACCGCTTTAGACAATTCATAGACCAGGGCTTGGGTAGGTTCATGAACTATTTGAAAGTAGGGCAGGGGAACCAGTCCCAAATTATTGTATTTTATTTTAAAGTAGGGTGGTCGGCTTAACGAATAGTGAAATGATGAGGCCAAGTTCTAAACCAATCCCTTACAGTTCACAGACCAGGGCTCTTTCAAGTTCGATCTGATGTTTAAACCTGAACAATAGCACCTCTGGCAAGGGGGATTACAAAGGGAACTGTGAAGTATTTTTACCTAAGGATAGAAAGATTTATGAGTTCAGATTAAAATACTGAGTTACCAAGAAATAGAGGGTCCCAGCCAGAGCAGAGGCCCCCTTGCCCTGCTGAGTACCAGCCCAGGGAAGTTGCAGCAACAGCTAAAGGGTTAAGCGCACAGGCCAGCCCTGCTCAGCAGCGAGGGACCTCTCGTCCTCTGCAAGAGCTAGAGGTTCAGGGGGCAGCAACACATTGACGCCAGCACGGGCCAGCGGGATCCCTCACCCTGTCCCTGGCCTGCCTGTGGCACAGGAGCGAACCCAGCTGGTTCCAGCCCCGTGTTCTCCAGTAATGCTCAGAGCAGGACTCGTTTCCAGGAGGGAGAGCCAGGCCCTGCTGAAATGGTGCAAGAGTTTCCCCCCCCCATACACACACACTTTAAGTTTGGATCTCTGGGGTGTTTACACATAGCAAACACACGTTTCCACTGCAGTTTCTGAACCAGGCCTCAGTTGGACAGCAGAATTAATGCTAATAAAAACTGGCCTGAAGAAGAGCTCTGCCTAAGCCACAAAGCTTGCCTCGCTCACAGACACCAGCTAGTCCCATCAAAGATATGACGTCCTCCCACGCCCTTGTTTCGCTAATGGAAAGGGAAGCAACTACATGCCAGATGAGAGGTAGGTTAAGGCTTTTCCTTGAGGATCTAGGTATGGAAAAGCTGGTTCTTTCAGAAGAAAAGTTGGATGGAGGTTGGTCAATCACCTCCTTAATTATTCTGTTTACTGGCTATGGAAACCCAATGGTAAGGTTAAGTGATAATCTAAAACTTCAGTGAAGTGTAAAACATGTCCTGATCGCTAAGTGCAGCGGCTTCTTCTAACTGAAGAATGACTGAAAGCAGGGACCTGGGATGATGAAGTGGCTTTAGCC